TAAAATTGACGCGGAAGAAGTTCGTGGACGAAAGGTAGGCTAGATAGAGGATTATTTCGATTACACTGACTGACCATACCGTTTAATACCGACTTTAAATTTATAGCTCGATGTACCAGCGAAATTTGTGCTGCCAAATTTGCCCCTCAACATGCAAAACATGGGTTGAAATTCAAAATTTTCCCGGGGGGACATGACAAAAAAGCCGGGCCGTACTCGGGGCTCTAGTGGCGCCTGCGGCGCGATGGCTCGCGCCTTCGGCGCTTCATGCGGGGTAAATTTTCAATCAAAATCTCGTCCTCCCCATACGAAATTTCACTCTCTATGATTCACGCCGGGGGGAGGCCTAGGAAAAATTTTTTGAGCCGGGGGGAGGGCCTAGGAAAATTTTTTTTGACCTGGGGGGAGGGCCTAGGAAAAAATTTTTTACGCTACCCCCGGACGACCGGCCCCCCCTCCCCGGTAAATATCGTACAGTCCCTTAGTGGGTCATAGGTCATGATCAACAGTCTGTGTGTAGACACTAGGATAACTTGGGCCTAGTGTGCTATGAGTCTGGCATCCAAGCAACTCCTACAACTTACATTCCCAGAGGATCCTAGGAGCAGATATGAAATGTTGGGTTCATTAATAGGTTAGTTTTATCTGCTGGTGACAGAGGCTTTCCTGGACAGAAGGACATTGACCCTACGCTCTTAAGGTTATTCACCTTACACGCAGTGTGTAAATATTTGACATCAGGAAACCACAGCACGTCGGCAGAGCGTACTGCACCTGCGCAAAACCCGTAATGTATTGTGCATAGCACTTCGGCAGAACGTCTCATATAAGGTTGTATTTGCTCATATAAGGTTAGCATTCCGACAGTAGTTTTCAAATGTTGTGTTGGAAAAGATACCGTCTGCAACAGGCAAAATTCTGATGCAACGGTGACCAAAAATCCAAGGAAAACCGCGAAAATACGGGGTTCTGTGCAGGAGCAGTACATTCTGCTGACGTGCTGGAAACCATGAAACTGTAACAGTTGGGGGGGGGGGTTGTAGGCGCTACCAACTGACCAGCAAAGTTATCCTAGTGTCCCAACTTGAGTCCAGTGTGCTGTGGGTCTGGCACTCAGGCTACTGTATAAGCTGGTAGCTGGGTTCATCATCATCATCATGCCTCCGGATTATACTAATCCGGTGAGATACACTTGATAAAGTTACTCCAGTATGTCCTATCTCTCATGGCAGACACTAATGCAGTCCCTGCGAGACTAGTGTCTCTCTCTAACAATTTAGTAACATGGACAAAAGTGTAGTATAAGGACGTCCTACTCTACGTCTCCCAGTAGGAAGCCATTGTACTAGTCTACCAGCTGGGTTAAACAATTGTTGTTTTTCTGTCATCCCACAGGGCTCTCCCTCAGACGTACCCTTGAACCCAGAGCCAAGACAGCAGATGGTACGAATCAGCCAGGAAATCTGCCTGGGAATTAAAAATGCTATTTTTACCTTGGCTTAGAAGAAGGTTATGTTTGGTGCTATTTGTGTGTGTCTGGCTGGGTGCCTGTGTGTGTTTGGGTTCAGCATAATTGTATACTGAATACCTCTAGATACAGTTAAAGATATCAAATAAAGAGGCTTAAAAAGCCAGAATGACCAGAACTCTGCCCAAGTTGTTGTGTAGTTCATTGTCCACACCATGTAATAATTTTAACAATGTTCCCCCTGTTCCAGATTGAAACTGCAGTGAAATTTCTACAGAATCCCAGAGTCAGACAGAGTGCATTTGCTCAGAGGAGAGCGTTCTTACAAAAGAAAGGTTTGTACTGATATCGTGAAGTCTTCTATCTCTGATTGCCTTGCTTGTTGTTGGAGCTGCATTTTCCCAAATGATCCCTAGTTGGCGCTGTGACTAGGGATTTGCCATATACCAGAAGCAAGATAACACAACTCCATGTTCACTGCAGGTGTACATATTTCTTTTCTTTTTCTTACCTTTTTAGGGCTGACAAATGAAGAAATCCAGTTGGCAATAGAGAAGTCAGGGACAGCTTCCGATGAAACCAACCCTCCACCCCCACCTCCTGCACAAGTGGCACAGTCCACAGCCCCTGTACCTCTACAACCACCTGTTAGTAAGTACTGTACTGTAACATGTACATTCTGACCAGGAATTCAAGAGTCTGTGGTATCTTTGAGTTTATGCTTGAAATATTCATCGCTATCCAATTTTAAAAGCATCCAATACAAGTTCAAGTCAATTTTACTATTTGTATTGTAGGCTGGTTCTAACTATTTATGGTGGGACTTCTAATGCAGCTGCAGTTTGTTTTGGGGCTTTAAGTATGAAATGATTATGAAAATGTGCTATGAAATGGCATTAAATGTCAGTACCAGAATGTTTTTTGTTTTGCCACCTGCATTGCACGCATTAAAAATATTTGAAGACTTACAGTTTTTGGAACTAGTAGTACAACTTTGTGCTTTCACAAGATAGGCACCAAGATTGAATGAAAAGAAAACAAGTTGTGTTCCTGTCCCCTTGGCAGTTGTTCCAGTGTCTCCCTGGTCCAAATGGCGGGACATGGGAGCTGTCATTGTGTTGGTGGGAGGGGCGTTATATGGACTGTACAGACTCTTCCAGGTACGGCACTCACTCACTCACTCACTCACTCACTCACTCACTGACTGAGGGGCGTTATATGGACTGTACAGACTCTTCCAGGTATGGCAATCACTCACTCACTCACTCAATCAAATTTTCATCTCAGTTTTGTGGTTAGATGTCAGTTTACCTGTTTTTGTTTCTTTGGCATGTTATTAGATGAGGTAAAATCCATATTTCCAGTGCAGGGCTTGAAATACTATTTTTGCATACCTGCACAGCTCAAATTTTACCTGCACTAACCTGCATATGCAGGGGTATTTTGTGCTTTTTTTCACCAGCTTAAGAAACCCATTTTGCAGTTAAAGTTAAGAATATTACAACTCAACTGAATACGTTGATTGTTCCAGGCATACCTGGTGCCACTGTGGAAGACCAGACAGGAGGAAAGACAGAGACTGGAGAGGATAGAAGCAGCAGTGACTGAGCTCAGCGCTTCTGTCAACAAAACAGGTGAGTACAGCTGCCAGGAATCATTCCCTGGGGATTTGTTTTTTCAATATCCTTTGATGTGCCTGCATTTCTTTACATCTGCACTGGAACATTGATTATTACCTGCACCAGACAAATTTTACCAGCACCACATTCAATTTAGGAAGTATGGATCATACAGTGTACTTCCTAATAAATTAACTTAAAACTGTTCAGAAACCATTGCCATTGTTTATTTTATGTCATGTCAGAAGAGGTAACAGTTCATGCAAGCAAGGGAAATTCCACATACGCCTACATGTATATGATTTATATTATAAACCCAGAACATGAACCAGTGCAGGTTAGGTGCAGGTTGACATCAGAAATACCTGCACAGCTCCAATTTTACCTGCACTAACCTGCATATACCCAGTACATGGACCAGTGCAGGTTAGGTGCAGGTTGACATCAGAAATATCTGCACAATTTTACCTGCACTAACCTGCATATACCCAGTACATGGACCAGTGCAGGTTAGGTGCAGGTTGACATCAGAAATATCTGCACAATTTTACCTGCACTAACCTGTATATACCCAGTACATGGACCAGTGCAGGCTAGGTGCAGGTAGACATCAGAAATACCTGCACAGCTCCAATTTTTGTCATTCCTTAGCTTGACAAGATTGGAGTTGTACAGTCAAAAATTTGGGTGAGACCAACTTTTTGTGTTGGCTATAGGAGTTCAAACTCATTTCATAATGACTTCTACCAACACAGATGAACTGTCAAGATACGCTCCAATTTTACCAGTTTTGAGCCCTGTACCATGTGTAACTCTCTCCACCTGCTGTAGTTGAGTTGGGATTACACCAATGTAATGCTACAATGTCATGTAGTTTTAGTTGCTGATATCATGTATGATTGTACACCTGCTGTAGTTGGTGAGTTGCAGACCTCCATGGGAGTGGTTCAGCAGGCGCTAACCAAACAGTCAGACAGGGTTCAGGAGATCTCCATGGAACTGGCAGCTGGGAAGGTAGGCAAACATACTACAGGTACAAGTCAGATATTAACCTTTGGAACATAACAGATCACCAAATGGAGCATAACAGATCATTAAGACTGATATTGTTGCATTGACGAGACAAAATAAGACTAGCGATATTGAATATACAAATGTATGTATATTCACTGTACTAACATTCAAGGTAGGCAAACATACTATAAGTACAAGTCAGATACATGTACAAGTCAGATATACTAGTATGTGCAACATGTACATTCAATGTACTAACATTCAAGGTAGGCAAATATACTACAGGTACAAGTCAGATAATATTAACCTTTTCCCTGCTGCCTAACCTTGTAACCAATACAAATTTCAGCAAGAAGATGAAAAGTGCCAAATGGAGCATAACAGATCATTAAGACTGATATTGTTGCATTGACAAGACAGAATAAGACTAGCAATATTGAATATATGTACATTCGCTGTACTAACATTCACTTTTTCTCAGTCCACAGCACGAGTGTTTGAGAGCCAGAGTGTGAGTGAGCTGAAGGCTGAGATTACTTCTCTCAAGGGTCTGCTCCTCAGTAGGTAGGTAACAAAATATTTGACAGATCACTATACATGTAGTAAAGGGAAGAGGAGGAAGACACAGAAATACACATCTTCTTCCTCCCCTTCTCTGAACAAATAAGGTCAATGACCCGGACCAGACGTCTGTCACCATGGTAACTGGTGTTGGGTTACATCATGTTGCAATTTTATAGCAGGAGTTTTTTAGACTCCTGTCTAACCATATATGTGAATGTGTTTGAGTAAGAATTAACAGAGCAGACCATATGTGAAGGAAGGTAAACATTATGCATTTGTTTTGCAAATGTTACCTCTCTAGTGCTTAATATGATTTTTCTTCC